TGAATGGATACAAAAACAAGACCCATATATTTGCAGTCTACAAGAGACCCACTTCAGACCTAGAGACACATACAGACTGAAACTGAGGGGATGGAAAAAGATATTTCATGCAAATGGAAACCAAAAGAAAGCTGGAGTAGCAATTCTCACATCAGACAAAATAGACTTTAAAATAAAGACTATTAGAAGAGACAAAGAAGGACACTACATAATGATCAAGGGATCGATCCAAGAAGAAGATATAACAATTGTAAACATTTATGCATCCAACATAGGAGCACCTCAATACATAAGGCAAATACTAACAGCCATAAAAGGGGAAATGGACAGTAACACATTCATAGTAGGGGACTTCAACACCCCATTTTCACCAATGGACAGATCATCCAAAATGAAAATAAAAAAGGAAACAAAAGCTTTAAATGACACATTAAACAAGATGGACTTAACTGATATTCATAGGACCTTCCATCCAAAAAAAACAGAATACACATTTTTCTCAAGTGCTCATGGAACATTCTCCAGGATAGATCATATCTTGGGTCACAAATCAAGCCTTGGTAAATTTAAGAAAATTCAAATTGTATCAAGTATCTTTTCCGACCGCAACGCTATGAGACGAGACATCAATTACAGGAAAAGACCTGTTAAAAATACAAACACATGGAGGCTAAACAATACACTACTTAATAACGAAGTGATCACTGAAGAAATCAAAGAGGAAATAAAAAAATACCTAGAAACAAATGACAATGGAGGCACGACGACCCAAAATCTATGGGATGAGCAAAAGCAGTTCTAAGAGGGAAGTTTATAGCAATACAAGCCCACCTTAAGAAAGAGGAAACATCTTGAATAAACAACCTAAACTTGCACCTCAAGCAATTAGAGAAAGAAGAACAAAAAAACCCACTTAGCAGAAGGAAAGAAATCATAAAAATCAGATCAGAAATAAATGGAAGAGAAATGAAGGAAACAATAGCAAAGATCAATAAAACTAAAAGCTGGTTCTTTGAGAAGATAAACAAAATTGATAAACCATTAGCCAGACTCATCAAGAAAAAAAGGGAGAAGACTCAAATCAATAGAATTAGAAATGAAAAAGGAGAAGTAACAACTGACACTGCAGAAATACAAAAGATCATGAGAGATTACTACAAGCAACTCTATGCCAATAAAATGGACAACCTGGAAGAAATGGACAAATTCTTAGAAATGCACAACCTGCTGAGACTGAATCAGGAAGAAATAGAAAATATGAACAGACCAATCACAAGCACTGAAATTGAAACTGTGATTAAAAATCTTCCAACAAACAAAAGCCCAGGACCAGATGGCTTCACAGGCGAATTCTATCAAACATTTAGAGAAGAGCTAACACCTATCCTTCTCAAACTCTTCTACAATATAGCAGAGGGAGGAACACTCCCAAACTCATTCTACGAGGCCACCATCACTTTGATACCAAAACGAGACAAAGATGTCACACAGAAAGAAAACTACAGGCCAATATCACTGATGAACATAGATGCAAAAATTCTCAACAAAATGCTAGCAAACAGAATCCAGCAGCACATTAAACGGATCATACACCATGATCAAGTGGGGTTTATTCCAGGAATGCAAGGATTCTTCAATATATGCAAATCAATCAACGTGATACACCATATCAACAAATTGAAGGAGAAAAACCATATGATCATCTCAATAGATGCAGAAAAAGCTTTTGACAAAATTCAACACCCATTTATGATAAAAACCCTCCAGAAAGCAGGCATAGAGGGAACTTTCCTCAACATAATAAAGGCCATATATGACAAACCCACAGCCAACATTGTCCTCAATGGTGAAAAACTGAAAGCTTTTCCACTAAGATCAGGAACAAGACAAGGTTGCCCACTCTCACCACTCTTATTCAACATAGTTTTGGAAGTTTTAGCCACAGCAATCAGAGAAGAAAAGGAAATAAAAGGAATCCAAATTGGAAAAGAAGAAGTAAAGCTGTCAGTGTTTGCAGATGACATGACACTATACATAGAGAATCCTAAAGATGCTACCAGAAAACTACTAGAGCTAATCAATGAATTTGGTAAAGTAGCAGGATACAAAATTAATGCCCAGAAATCTCTGGCATTCCTATACACTAATGATGAAAAATCTGAAAGTGAAATGAAGAAAACACTCCCATTTACCACTGCAACAAAAAGAAAAAATATCTAGGAATAAACCTACCTAAGGAGACAAAAGACCTGTATGCGGAAAATTATAAGACACTGATGAAAGAAATTAAAGATGATACAAATAGATGGAGAGATATACCATGTTCTTGGATTGGAAGAATCAACATTGTGAAAATGACTCTACTACCCAAAGCAATCTATAGATTCAATGCAATCCCTATCAAACTACCACTGGCATTTTTCACAGAACTAGAACAAAAAATTTCACAATTTGTATGGAAACGCAAAAGAACCCGAATAGCCAAAGCAATCTTGAGAATGAAAAACGGAGCTGGAGGAATCAGGATCCCTGACTTCAGACTATACTACAAAGATACAGTAATCAAGACAGTATGGTAGTGGCAGAAAACAGAAATATAGATCAATGGAACAGGATAGAAAGCCCAGAGAGAAACCCACGCACATATGGTCACCTTATCTTTGATAAAGGAGGCAGGAATGTACAGTGGAGAAAGGACAGCCTCTTCAATAAGTGGTGCTGGGAAAACTGGACAGGTACATGTAAAATATGAGATTAGATCACTCCCTAACACCATACACAAAAATAAACTCAAAATGGATTAAAAACCTAAATGTAAGGCCAGACACTATCAAACTCTTAGAGGGAAACATAGGCAGAACACTCTAGGACATAAATCACAGCAAGATCCTTTTTGACCCACCTCCTAGAGAAATGGAAATAAAAACAAAAATAAACAAATGGGACCTAATGAAACTTCAAAGCTTTTTCACAGCAAAGGAAACCATAAAGAAGATGAAAAGACAACCCTCAGAATGGGAGAAAATAGTTGCAAATGAAGCAACTGACAAAGGATTAATCTCCAAAATTTATAAGCAGCTCATGGAGCTTAATAACAAAAAAACAAACAACCCAATCCAAAAATGGGCAGAAGACCTAAATAGACATTTCTCCAAAGAAGATATACAGACTGCCAACAAACACATGAAAGAATGCTCAACATCACTAATCATTAGAGAAATGCAAATCATCTCACACCGTCAGAATGGCCATCATCAAAAAATCTAGAAACAATAAACGCTGGAGAGGGTGTGGAGAAAAGGGAACCCTCTTGCACTGTTGGTGGGAATGTAAATTGATACAGCCACTGTGGAGAACAGTATGGAGGTTCCTTAAAAAACTACAAATAGAACAATCATATGACCCAGCAATCCCACTACTGGGCATATACCCTGAGAAAACCATAATTCAAAAAGAGTCATGTACCAAAATGTTCATTGAAGCTCTATTTACAGTAGCCTGGAGATGGAAACAACCTAAGTGCCCATCTTCGGATGAATGGTTAAAGAAGGTGTGGCACATATATACAACGGAATATTACTCAGCCATAAAAAGAAACAAAATTGAGCTATTTGTAATGAGGTGGATGGACCTAGAGTCTGTCATACAGACTGAAGTAAGTCAGAAAGAGAAAGACAAATACTGTACGCTAACACATATATATAGAATTTAAGAAAAAAAAATGTCATGTAGAACCTAGGGGTAAGACAGGAATAAAGACACAGACCTACTAGAGAATGGACTTGAGGATATGGGGAGGGGGAGGGTAAGCTGTGACAAAGCGAGAGAGTGGCATGGACATATATACACTACCAAATGTAAGGTAGATAGCTAGTGGGAAGCAGCCGCATAGCACAGGGAGATCAGCTCGGTGCTTTGTGACCGCCTGGAGGGGTGGGATAGGGAGGGTGGGAGGGAGGGAGATGCAAGAGGGAAGAGATATGGGAACATATGTATATATATAACTGATTCATTTTGTTGTAAAGCAGAAACTAACACACCATTGTAAAGCAATTATACTCCAATAAAGGTGTTAAAAAAAAAAAGAAATTGAAACGGTTATTAAGGTTAATTCATTTCCCCCCCATATCCATTTTAACATATTTTGAAATAAAATCTAAAATGAATCATAGCAAATCTTACTAATTCAACCAGGGTTCTATTATTATTTTTTACTCCTATGCTTTAATTTGTACGTTTATGCTTAATTTAAGGATAACCATGGATAAAACATGAAAATCAGTGCATTTTTCGTTCTGCAATCATATATGTTCTATTCTACATAATATCTCACCTGTCCTCATATTTTGTTTATACTCATGTACATAATATTCAGGTTTGATGACCTTGGCAATAGACCTTTCCTTATAAAATGTGCTCACAAATATGAAATTGGTCAATCAGTTGCTCAGGAAGAAAATTACATGAACCTAGTTTTGTAGCAAATATGTTTAAGTTAAAGGTTCAAAATATCCTTTAACTAAGAAAATTCAAAATGCCATCATTTTCCTCCTGGATGGTGAGATCTTCACCTTATACTTTCTCTGTCTGACTTTATTTATTCTCTGATTGGTCCCTGCCAAGTATATTTTGATAATATAGATAATAAGCTATATTTCAGTGAAGGACTTCTCTATGTTGAGGACTATGACCACTGTATTAAAATCTAAATAATATACACAGACATAAAGTACAGCAAGGGTACAACTTCTCACTCCTACAAAAATTCTTGATTTTTTAAAAATTTAAGTCTATCTATCTCGGTCAGTGAGCTTTGATTGGTGAGCTTTAGTCTGGCTTAGTTGTACAAAGTCTACATCCTGTCTTAAAAAACAAACAAACTTACTGCTTTCATGCTATCATTAACTTGACTAATTTCAAGGCACAACATATTTCAAAAAAAACCCCAGAGAAATCAACAAGTTTCCATTAAAAATGATGTGCATTTAGATGAGACTCACCTTTAAAGAATCAAAACAAGCCATCACACGACCATTTTCCACATGGCAAACTCTTGGCGGATGGGCAAACTTGCAATCTGCATCAGCTCGAGAGCAGGTTCCTCTCTGAAATTCTCTACAGACTTCCAAAGTCAGCCACTTGGTATCACGAACCAGGGCAACATTGACAGCCGTCATATTGAAAGCAAAGTTAAAATCAAGTGCACCCTCTCTACAACACTATTACTGCTGTTGTTGAAAGGTTAAAAATAAATTCAAGCTAAATGTGAAGAGATAACTGGTTGCTTTGGTGAAAGGTTTCTTTGTTAGCACTTAAGTTTTCATTTAAGTCAAATTTGGTGGTCTAGTCAAACAAAAAGCCCACTATAAAATAAAAATCGTATCAGAATAACTAAAAATCAAATTAGAGACCAACTCCTAAGAAGGCAGCCGTCAAGGTTAAGATATTGAGTGCTTTATTTTTTTCCTCTGCTGAAGTTACTTCAAATAACTGGCAGAGTTTCAAAAGGATTCTGTGCTCTCCAGTTGATATTTTCAATTATTCTTGCAAAAAGCATATGCTGCTGGCTGCCTGTCAATGTGTGGAATGGTCTCAAGTCAAGGGGAGAAAAGTTTTTTTACCTATCTCTTGGCTTTAAAGATTAATAGGATGTTACAACTGCAATTTTTTTTTTGTTTTTGCTGCAAAATCGGGAGAAGGAAAAATGACTATGAAAATTGAGAATCAAAGAAAAAAAGAATGAACGAGTTGCTGAGAATGAACTACAAGCACACCAGGGTTTTTTTGCGGGGGTGGGGCGGGGAGAGGTGGCAGTGATGGTGGTAGGGAGAGGGGTTTATAAAGAGGCAGCTCGAAAGTGGAATCCAATCAGCAGAGTTTTCAGAAAAGGCACTTTCCAGAAACCTGCAAAAAATAAAATAAAATAAAATAAAATTAGCTAATATAACACATTGCTTCCGTTTTAAACTCTAGATTTGGAAAAGTAGTAATATATCCTCTTTAAAACAGGAAGCATCTAGATACTGATAGTGCAACATAGGAGACAGTCAGCCATTGTCAATAAAAAGGGCATTTCCCAGTATAGAACGGTACATAGTAAAAGGAAGCAACCACTTCGATTTACTGTTGACATACAAGACTGGGCAACAACCCAATTAAAAAGAAAAAAAAGATTATTTCATTTTGGTCTGTTTGGGGGCAGAAATTCATTCAGGGGTCCACTGCACCGAAAGAGCCAGAGCCTGACATGTCAGCGCTTTATGTAGTCATGATCCACCTGTGTGTCTTCAGGTTTTAGAGGCTACCAAAGACCTGCCATTAAACTGGCTTTACTATGATCTGATCGAAGGCTTGATGATCTGCTCTCAAAATCCAGAAAACAGAAATTGCTAGGAAAATTTAAGATGCTCCAAGAGGTAACTGTGTATTTGAAATGTAATTGTTGATGATCACACAAAACAGATATGACATAACTAGCTGGAGACCCACTGCAAATGAGGTAGGGGAGAGACTGTGAAATGTAAAATGTGCTTCAGATCAAGAAAGAAATCCTTCGAAAAGATGCTGGATTTTTTTTTCTGTGTATGCTCTATTAGTTCTTCGTCTTTATGAAGGGATATTGGAACAACTCAGAAGGAGGTTTCAGCATGGACAAATAAGTGAGACCGAAAGCACTGTTCATACACTGGTCATACATTAAATACTGTGCAGCTTTAGGGTTTGTACTTTAAACCAGTGTCGACCAGCAACAATTTCTAGGAACTCAGCTGAGAAGATAGATTAAATGTTAATTTACTGGCATTATGCCATGAACACATACCAAAATAACAGGGATTTTCTAAAGCAAAAGTAAGCTCTGAGTATCAGACAAATCAACTAATTGTTAACTTCATCAAAAAAGTAGAATTAAAGTTCTTGAAAACATTTCATTTACTTTTTTAAAGTTTCTTCAATAATTTTACAGAATCTGAATTTTTGCTTTATTCTTTCCACATTCAAGATAAAACTCAATATCACCTAATTTTTCAGATACCATTAGGAAATTAAGTATATAGAAAATTCATGCAGGCTTATCCATTTAAGAGCAAAACGTGTTTCTCTAAGTCATTCTTCATGGAAATATTTCTAAAATGTATTATATGTAGCTTTGCCTTCTTAAAAAATACTGAACATAATTTGGGCTCTGGTTGAAGACTTGGGGTCATAAAATGCCCTGGGAAGTATTATAGTTCTCTTTCAGTGGCAGATTGTTAATTGTCACTTCTACTGTCACTTCCCTTCCTGCCACAATATCTGCCATGGTGGATTGTCCAGCTCCTTTCTGGAATACATAATAGCTAATCATGAGCGTTGAATAAGAGTTAGTTACTCACTGTATGAGGGGCCTGCGGGCAAAGTGCAGGGCTTTCATGCAGAAGGTCTGTGACTACTCTTACTGGTTTGGAAACCCTTTTGCAATATGTTCCATTCAGGACCACGTCCTAGAGGGTTAAGGTTGCCAGGTGAATGACCTCTAAAAATATTTAAAATATATATCTATTTTAAACAGCCAGATGGGGGAAATACAAATGAAAATCACAATGTGATACCACTTCACACCCATTAGGATAGCTACAATAAAAAAGAAAAATTGGAGGGGTTTCCCTGGTGGCACAGTGGTTGACAGTCCGCCTGCCGACGCAGGGGACACAGGTTCGTGCCCCGGTCCGGGAAGATCCCACATGCTGCGGAACGGCTGCGCCCGTGAGCCATGGACACTGAGCCTGCGCATCCGGACCCCCTGTGCTCCGCAATGGGAGAGGCCACAACAGTGAGAGGCCCGCATACCGCAAAAAATAAGAAAAAAAAAGAAAAATTGGAGAAATTGAAACTATCGTACATTGCTGGTGGGAATGTAAAATAGTGCAGCTGCTGCAGCAGTATAACAGTTCCTCAAAATGTTAAGCAGTTACCATATGACCTAGCAGTTCCATGCCTAGGTATATACCCAAAAAAATTGAAAGCAGGATCTCGAAGACATATGTGTACACTCATGTTCATAGCAGCACTATTCACAATCGCCAAGAGGTAGAAACAGTCCAAGTGTCCATCAGCGGATGAGTGGATACACAAAACGTGATACGTCAACACAATGAAATATTACTCTACCATAAAAAGGAATAAAGTACTGACACATGCCACAACACGAATGAACCCCCCAAAAATGATGCTAAGTGGAAGAAGCCAGTCACAGCGGCCACATATTGTATGGTTCCATTTATATTAAATATCCAGAATAGGTAAATCCATAGAGTCAGAAAGCAAATTAGTGGTTGTGAGGGCCTGGGGAAGGGGAGAAAGTGGAGCAACTGCTGAATGTGTATGGGGTCTCCTTTGGGGGTGACAAAAATATTCTGGAATTAGACAGTGGTGATGGTTGCACAATTTTTTGAATATACCAAAGCCCATTCACTAAACTGTATACTTTAAATGAGTGAATTGGATAATATGTGAATTATATATCAATAAAGCTATTTTTTTAAGTCTAAAGAGACATGACAACCAAAAAAAAAAAAGCTTCATAAGTGATGGAATTGGCTACCCCAATCTTTTCTTTCTTAGATTCTTCTTAGACACACATTCTTCTAAGTAGTGTTCTGAAGTTGAATTTCAAGAGTAAATTCATTTCCATGCTTGTATTATAGAAAGTACTCTAATAAAAGAGTATGTTCTGTGAGTTTGTAAGTTTAGATTTAAAGATATATTCAAATTTAATCCTATAACTAAATTACATGGGCTGCCTGAACACATTTGAAAGAAAAATAATGAAAAAGAAATATATATATATATATATATATATATATATATATATATATATATATTTTGTCTGTTCATAAAAGGTGAGAGAGGGTGTGGGGAAAGATTTTTCTACAGAGGTCTATCAAGTATAGAAACAAATAATAAATTTGAATTTTAAACTTTTACAAATGAAAAAATACAAACAGGAATTGAACTCTGGCCATGCATTTTATGTAAGACAGGGGGAATGGGAGAAGGAATTTTCTTCATTTTTAAAATTGACGTAACCTCTGATGGGACCCTGGCCAGCTCCTCAAAACAGTTCTAGCCAGCGCATATCTGCATGTCTTCCTTCAAACTGGAACTATTTTTGGTGCTGGCACAGAAGAAGCTAGGTGCAACAACTAAAAAGAGCTGGTGTGACAGTGGAGAGATGTTCCGTCCTGCCGCGCTGCTCATCTCTGTATAAAAGACAGGGAGGGGGGTCCATTTTAAAGACCAACTTTGTTTGGGGGACAATACAACTTTATCTTCACTACTTTAGACTTGAGTAATAGGAATACGAGTTTGCTTTTCATGATTTATAGTCCTCTAATGTAGAACATGAAAAGTTACCGTTTCTTAGTACATTTGTACTTGTATGGTATTCGCAGCTTGCAAGTGTTTTTATTTCATTGATCTTTGGAGCTCTAAAAAATACTCTAAACCATGGGTGATAACCCAAAAAGACCAATGAAGGAAATGAAGCTCAAGGAAGCTAAATTACTTATCTGAAGTTACAAAGCCTTAAGTGGTAGAACCATGGCTCCAGGCAAGATCCTCTGACTCTAAATCTCATGCTTAGATCCTGGCAGAGAAATGTAGCAGTGATCATTTATCTCTTGTCTCTCTTGGGAATCTTAAACAACGAAAGCCAGTCATTTCTGTGTAGTACTTATGATTCCTTCTCAAAATTACGTTCATGCCTGTTGCAGTGCCATCTTCATAATATTCCTGAGTTGTGCTGCACCAACATTTATCCACATCCACTATACGCCAAGCACCGTTCTAGATGTGGAACAAGACTGATAAGGTCCCTGCTGTCGTAGAACTTCCTATGCTCATTTATATAGAGAAGAAACCAAAGGCATAGCAAAGAGAAATGATTATGAGAGTTTATGAAGGGGTGGAAGCAGACTCTAGGTATTCTGATTCCAACACAGCTCTCTCATTCTCCCATGAATGGTACACCAAGCACTCTAACTTAACGATACTCTTAAACACACACTCAAACACTATTGCATAGAAACGAGTCCCTAAAAGGAACACCCCCCAGAAATTACCACACCAAGTCTTACTGCTCTCCGGACTCCTCTTGAAGACAGTACTACTGTTCCCATTTTACAGATGGGGAAACAGAGGTGGAGAAGGGTTAAGTCTTGCACAACTTCATGTAGCTACCCTCAAGCCATGGTTCAAACCCAGGCAGTCTGCGACCAGAGCCCACCTTTTTAGTCATGTCATGATACTGTGTCTCCCTTATGGCACGGATCACATTCTTATTATAGGCCCTTAAGTTTTCTCCCTTATCAGACTGTAAATTCCATAAAACTAGAGATCATGTTTTACTTAGTTTTGCTGACTCTATCTTCTCATTGGAAGTTAGAGCATGACAGCATTTCTCAGGATTCTTACTTCGAAAGGTCAAAGATTAAATGGTAACTTAACACTTCCAAGCAAGGATTTTTGTCAGTTGAGCATCCTCTAGGCTGGCTGAGCTTTGGTCACCTCTGTCAGTTTCATATCTATCAGATCTGTAAAGCCGAGTATTTTCTCATAATTCTAGCTTTCAAATTGAAATGTTAATACCTGCAATTCTTGATATATAGAGCACTCAGTTTCGATAAAGAATGGTCTATTCCTGCTCTTTTGGTAACAGCAAGATCTTGGATTTAGAGTAAAAATATGAGATAACCAAATGACTTTTCTCTATATCTTTGGATAGTAGGTTAATTTTTGGAATGTTTTTGCCCAAGAATCAGTGTGATGAAACTGAACTGGGAGTGGGGTGAAGGAGATTTCACTTTGAGCCACAGGAAGAAACAAGAAACATCCCCGAAGTACATATTTTTCCTTGAAAGTAAAAG